CAGTTTTCTTTTATTTTTCATATTTTGCTCTCAAAACCAATTGTGGTGAAACATACATTCAGAGGAGAATAGATAACTAAGTGCATTAATTACCAAATCTGGAAAAATGACGAAGAATAAATTGGAAAAGAATTTTTAAAAAACTGTAGGATAATGAATCTGCTGAGAAAGATATCAGGAAAATCATCTCATTAACAATAACCAAAAAATAATAAAATACTCAGGAATAAGTCTATCTAAGGTAAAAGACCACTACAATGAAAACTATAGAACACTGAAGAAATTGAAGAAGAACTTAGAAAATGGAAAGACTTTCTATGTTCTTGTATAGGCAGAATTATTATTGTAAAAATGACCATATTAAAAAAAACAGAATACTATAGGAACATAGCCATATCAATGTTTATAGCAGCACAACTCACAATAGCTAGACTATGGAACTAACCTAGATGCCCTTCAATGAATGAATGGATAAAAAAAAATGTGGCATTTATACACAATGGAATATTACTCAGCACTAAAAAATAACAAGATCATGGCATTTACAGGGAAATGGATGGCATTAGAGCAGATTATGCTAAGTGAAGTTAGCAAATCCCTAAAAAACAAATGCCGAATGTCTTCTCTGATATAAGGGGGATGACTCAAAATGGGGTAGGGAGGAAGAGCATGAGAAGAAGATTATCACTAAATAGGGAAGAGAGATGGGAGGGAAAGGAAGGGAGAAGGGGAATTTGCATGGAAGATGGAAGGAGACTCTCATTGTTATAAAGAATACATGTATGACGATATAAGGAAAAAAAAGAAGTGTGTCACATTAGATTGGGTAGAGAGAAGTGATGGGAGGGGAGGGGAAGGGAGGGGAAGGGGGATAGGAAGGGCAGCAGAATAAAATAGACATTATTATTGCTGTATGTATATACGTGACTGCATGACTAATGTGATTCTGCAACCTGTACACTCAGAAAAATAGAAATTATACCCCATCTGGTTCAAATGTATGATATGTCAAGATCATGTGTACTGTCATGTGTAACTAATTAAAACAAATTTAAAAAATGGCCATATTACCAAAAGCATTATTCAGAATCAATGCATTCCCAATCAAACTACAATAACACTTTCACAGAACTAGAAAAAATTTTAGTCCTAAAATTCATTTGGAACAAATAAGGACCCAGAATAGACAAAACAGTACTGATAAAGAACAGCAACACTGGAAGCATCACAATACCTATCTCAAATTATACTATAGAGCTATAGTAATAAAAACAACATGGTTTTGACATAAAGACCACAGGAATGGAATAGAAGACACAGAGGCAAATCCACATAGACAGTCATGTGACACTTGACAAAGGTGTCAGAAACATGTTGGAGAAAAGACAGCATTTTAAACAGTGCTGGGGAAACTGGATATCTATATGTAAACATATGAAATCAGAGCCCTGTCTTTCACATACACAAAAGTCAATTCAAAGTCAATCAAAGACCAAAAACTTTGCAACTAATGGAAGAGAACATAGGGTTAACAGTCCTGTATATTGTCCCTGGTGCTGAGCTTCTCAAAAAGATCCCTTAAGCTCGAGAAATAAAACCAAGAACCAGCTCTATGTATCTATATAAAGCCCCAATTTAAAAAAAATAGAAAAGCAGTGAATAGAAGAAAGGGAATGGGGGAGAGAGAAGGGACGAAGAGCAGAGAAAGGAGAAGTACTAGGGACTGAATGGAGCAGATTATATTCAATGCATGTATGATTATGTCAAAATAAACCCCACTGTTTTGTATGACTATTATGCATTAATGAAAGCATTTTAAAATGGAATTGGAAAAAGAACTGTAGAAAAACAAGAATTCATTAAAACACATTAAAAAATGTAAAGCAGCCACATCAATGTTTATATATAGCAGCTCAATTCACATAGCTAAGCTATGAACCATCGTAGATTCCCTTAAACAGATGAATGGATAAAGAAAATGTGGTATGCAAACACAATGGAATATTACTCAGACATAAAAAGAATAATTTTATGACAATTTGCCAGTAAATAGATGGACCTAGAGACCATCATGCTAAGTGAAATAAAATAATGACCCCAAAACTAGAGGTCAAATGTTCTCTCTAATATATGGAACCTAATGTACAACAAGGCGGGGAGGGGAAGAATAGAACTTCAGTGGATTAGATAAAGGAGAGTGAAGGGAAGAAAGTAGGTTAGGAATAGGAAAGACAGTGGAATACATCTGACTCAACCTTCCTATGTGCATATATGAATATACCACAATGAATCTCCACATCATGTATGACCACAAGTCTGTGATCCCAATTAGAATAAGATATACTCAAGTTTGTATAAATATGTGGAAATATATTCTACTGTAATGTATATCTAGAAAGAACAAACTTTAAAGGATACATAATTTGGTGAATCTGAGATGAGATTAACAATGGGCTGATACATCCTCCCTAATTTTTAAGTGTGACAAATCTGATAACAAACTATGTTTATGTGCAGGAAATGAGACAGAGCTATACTCAAATACTATGAGCAAAATCATTCTAATATTTAAAAAAAATTCTAGATAAGGAAAATTTGAATCATCAAAGATTTTTAAAGGGTAATTTGAGTAGGCTAAAAACACATTGAAATGGATAAACTGAAGAACTCTTGTCACCATAAATTATCATATGTAAATGGGTTTATAGGCAAGTTCTTTTAAATCTTTGGAGGGAAAGTTAATTTCCATGATACTAAATCACTTTTAGAAATCATAATATAGCCTGACATTTTTAGTTTATTTTATATTTTCTTTACTCTGAATCCAAAGTTTGACACCAAATAAACCCCACCTTTAGGATTCTTTACTCTGGTAAATTGTACTCTCTTGCACCCAGTTGGACAAGCCCCAGACATGGGTGCCATCCTTGATTCCTCTTTTTCATTCTTCACATAAAATGGATGACTAATTCCATGTATTCTACTTTCTAAATACCTCTGAAATTAGTCTATTTCTCTCCATCGCTGTCATCCCTCACTGTAACCTAGGCCAATGCCACTTTGCACTCTCATCCATTTAACTGTCTGTAACTCGTGTCACTATGTGTGCTCTTGGCTGCTTCCCATCTACTTTCTAGCTGTGACCTTGGAGATTTCTAAAACTTAAATATGATCATGTCACTTCCATGCTTGTCAGTAGTTTCCCATTGTCATTTGGATGTAGTCCAATTTCAAGCTCCTTTCAAAACTTAGAATGCTTTTCCTGATCTGGTGCCTGTCTATATTTTGTAATGAGGATAATTAGTCTATCTTGCTACAGAGAGCTTTATGAGCTGAATTCTTAACTTCTGAAATACTGCAGAGCTGAGCCAATACTGGAAAGCAGTGTCTTGACCAAGAGAAGGAAGTTTTAACATCTAAAAACTTCATAATATTTGATGATGCATCAAACCCCCATTCTCTGTACTCTGATATTATTATTATTCATCTCAACAGCAAAATTCTTGATATATAGTGGACCATGAATAAATATATAATGAATGAGTAATTGCACATGATAAGTTTTCCAAACTTCATGAAAAGCCTAAAACTCATTGCACTGAACTCAAGGACAGAAAATATATACTAAAAAAAAAAAAAAATACACAAAATCAATATCAAGTAGATTGATCAATGCTATAAAATGGATTTTTTTCTGTTTTATTAATTGTATATAATAGAATCTAACAATATGTTAAAAATTGTGGCTTGTGAAATCTAACATTCATATGGATTATTCGATTAAAAATTACTGAAAAGAACTTGAAAACATATTTTTGGACTTATATTCAGTGAAATTCTATATTTTAATTTTGGAGAGTGCATTTTATGTCCATTATAAAGAACTTTACCAAAAACAAATGTATAAAGGTATGTAGGATCATGTCCATAGATCAGAAAAGGTTCTGAATGATTTCGATAGATTTCTATTTGTGACTTTTTTTTTCATTTAATGTGATTAATCTGATGTGATAATAACTGGAGGAATAGGCTGTCATTAGGCATGATTTTTAGGAGGTAAGCTAGATTTTCTGTTTGTCATTCCAGATCCCTGAAGTGTCCCAAAGATTGAATTCTATAACTTTCATCAGGAGGGGTCTTTATGCCTAAAGATGGAGAGCAGAAAGAGAGAGAGTCCAAGGAAGTTATTCCTCTAGCACTACACTTGTTTGTCTTCAGTAGTGCAGTGACCATATTCTTTTTCCAAGAGTCACAACTCCTGAAAAGCTGGCCTCTTACATTATAACCAGAGTCATAGCTCTTCCCAGGCCATGATAAGTGCTTGCACTTCTCCCTTCAGGCCAGGAAATGAGTTCAGCTTCTTAATATTGCTACCCCTTGAGTGAGTGTCACCATTTCTTGTTCATTTTCCTGTAAATTCTCCCATATTCGTAAATATTCTGCATACTGAAAATCTCCCCAATGATCCAGTTGGCGTTTCCTGACTGATCTATAGGGCTAATAATTTAAGAGATAGACCTCAAACCATCACGGAGTAATTTATACCTATCCAGACTTTCTCAGTGATTCTACACTATGAGCAACCATAACTCAAATCTTTTTTTTTTTTTTTTTTTTTGACAACCAAGCTTAACATTTTCCACTGAGATCTTCTGGAGTAAAATTTTACTGTTCATGTAAATTGCTTATGAAAGGATTTAACGTTAAGCCCTTTTGAATATCTCTGTAGATTCCTTGGCAGTTTAGAAAGGATCCTTGTAGAATTTTCCTGGCTTTGTATTTGTTTGTATCAAAATCAGAATCAAGGAGACAGCTCTTAATTGCTCAGTTGTGGGGCAGTCAGGGCACATTTCAGCATGTCTGCATTCAATTGTAGAATCAAAGGGAATATATCTGACATGCCCTCTTTGCCTCAGCAGCCTTGAAATCTGTTCTTTCCATTCTATTTATTCTGACTCAGGGGCAGTAACTGACTTCAACTGACTCTCAGTGTCTCAACAGTGACACTGAGAGTCAGTTGAAGGAGTGATACTAACTTTTTACTTTTTCTTGGACAGGTAGAGATTCAGATTATGTTTAGCTGTTGGGATGCTGTAAGATTAGATAAGCCTACAGGAGGGTAGAAGAAGGAAAAACGACTGCCAGTCAAGCAGCTCAAAGAATACTTTATAAAATAAGTAACATTTGAGTTAAAGCCTCAAAATGAGTGTTTTATTATTACTGTAGAATTATTTTTAGTGATTTTTATTGGTGAGAGCGTTAGAAACATTGAAAGGACAACAGTAAATAAGGGCGTAAGAGTTAATAAGTAGAAATATAAGTAGTGTTCAGAAGATATAACTTAAATACACAAGTTTGAAATAGAGTTTTTTTTTTAATTAGAAAAAGAAAATTGTTACAATTGACTAGTATCAAATCAATGGTAAATGTGTTGGTCAGGGTTCTTCAGATATAGGTATGGATACAGATACAGACATCTATGTAGATACCGGAGAGGGGATTTGTTAGGGGAATTGGATCATGCAATTAGCTAGAAACACCGGGATGCTGGTAGTGTGGTTCAGAGCAAGTCCCAAAGGTCTCAGAACTAGGCTAGCGGATGACGTAACTTTCACTCTAAGGATGAAGGCCTGAGAACACAAAGGACTGTAAGTCCAGAAGTTCAAATGCTAGAGAGCCTTGAGTTCTGATGTCTAAGAGGAGAAAAGTGTCCCTGCTCCAGGAGAGAGAGAGAGAGAGATTAACTTTTTGTTCTTATTCCATGGCTACCCTATTGGACTAGTCTTCCAGTCCTCCCAACTCAGCCTAACTCATAAATCAATCTTCTTTGGAAATATACTTACAGAAACAACCAGAAATAATGCTTTATTGGTTCTCTAGGTATCACCAATCCTGTCAAGTTGACGCCATCACAGTGAGTATGAAGATAATATGAGTGATGTGAAAGTATGACACGGGATGAATGAAGGAGACAAAGACTTGAACTGTTATAGTGACCTGTGTATGATACACTGTGGGTCCAAACTGATCCAGTTACGTGGGAGACTGAATGAGAAGAAAGCAGTAAATAAAAAACAGATTCAAAGTAATTAATAAAATTAAAAGATGCAGATGGTTAAAATTTCAACCCTTTAAATAATCAGCTCACTCATGTAGACTTTACTGTTAATTTATTTTCCATGTATATATTTTTACTCTTTCTTAAATGATGTTTTATAATTATAATATTTTAGAAGCATCTCCAAATTCCATAAAATATTAGAAAAAAATTGACAAAAGTGATAACATAGGTTGTTTTGCCTATAGTCTTTGACTTCTTTTAGAAAGACTATAAGCTTATCACATTGACTACACAAATATTGATTGTTAAATTGTATGGATAAGAGATGCAGTTAATGTAGGGCTTACAAAGAGGCAAAAATTAGATCACCATATTCAACCAGTGATAATGACCTCATCTCCCTTTTGAGCCTGTGACATACATACACTGACTGCATTAGTCTTATGTGCTAAGCACAAAGCAAAAAAATAAAAAATAAAAGTGATCATTTTACACACGAATATTGAACATTCTTTCTCAAAAAAGAAGTAAGCTGGCTGGGGCTATACCTCAGTGACAGAGTGCTTGTCTAGCACATGTGAGGCACTGGGTTTGGTCCTTAGCACCTCATAAAGAGAAACAAATAAAATAAAGGCATTCTTTCCATCTACAACTACAAAAAATAAAAATAAAAAAGAAGAAGTAGTAAGAGGGTATGTCAATGTTTTGAAAATAGAAAGTTTATAACACTTAATTTAAAATTTTTTTTGTTTTCCATTTACACTGAAACTACTATAGATTTAAAAGTTACTAACAAATTTATTTAAAATAACAAAGTAATTGAAGTATAAACTCAAGTAAACATCTACTAAAAACATACTGGATTTATGTTTTTCATTTTTAATCAAGAATACCTCCTCCTACTTAGTGTAGAACTAAGCAATTATCTATTGGATTCATGCAGCAAAAAATATCAATTCTTATTTAAGACAAAAATAATACTTTTTATCTTAGGCCAATAATATAAGAGCTTATCAGCTTAATTTACCTTAATTATAACAATGACTAACATTTTATATCCATAATTTATTACTGATTTATTTTTATTCTAAAACCTTCCAATAAAATATATTTTCAAGGAATAAGAACTTATATATCTATGCATTATATGCAATGCTTATAGTAGTTTGCATTTTGGCAAAATGAAATGTTAATTTCTTATATCATTTGTGAAATATACCACTAATTAAAATTTTGTTGTGATGTTTATTTGATTGGAAGAATCAAGTGCCCTGACAAACTGCAGTTTGGTTTTGACCTTAACAAATAAATGAATCGAAACTGAATTTTCATTCTTATAAATATGTTCAACAAATATTGACAGTGTTAGTTATGCATACCTATTTACTGCTACTTGGAAGAATTAATTCAGTAGCAAATAAACTACTTTGCCACCCAGTAGGAGACTCAATATTCACTCATTCATTTTCATTCATAGATATTTAATGAATCCTATATGTACTAATCATACATAAATAATACAAAATAAAAACTTGTAAGTTATTCAAGAGAGTAACAGAGTTCAAGAAGAATTTAGAGAATTCTGAATCTTGAATATGTATAAATTTTATTAACATTATGCAATCATTTCATATTATAGTACAAAAACATATATGTATTCATATTTTGTTTATATATGTACATATATAACAAATAGAACCAACTAAAATTAAAATGATTAAAAATTTGAAGAAAATGAAGAAGAAATTAAAATGATGTAGTTATGGCTTTATTGAATTATTTCTAAATCTGTATGCAGGACATTTTCATTATGAACATATGTACATAAAGATGACATATGTACATAAAGTAGACAAAAACTGCAAATAATAAACTTCCTTTATTATAGATTTAAAACTGTGACAGGTCACCTGAATCTAAAACTTGAAAACCAAGGGACTAAGGTCATACCTGAAATTGAAAATTGAAAAATTTTCTATCATCTGCCATTACCCATGCCTTCTCAGGTCATTCTGGAAGTGCTCACTGACAAGTACTACAGTAGTGCTTCCTGTGTCATGGCAAGTGCTTCCTCCTTGTGAAAGTGGATTTGGAAGGCTTACCAGTTTGTGTTTTTGCCTTTTAAAGGAAGAACACATGTGAGAGAGCTGGGTGGGGTAGAGTATCTTCACAGCACGCTGGCTTTGTATTCCCCTTACCTTTCCCCACTCCCTTCTTGAGTCTTATGAATCATTTTGGAAGCTGATTACTGTTGAGTAATTTCATTTTAAAGATAAATTTGGAATTTTACATAGTTTTTGATTCTCTAACATAAGCTCAAAAGAGGACCAACAAGAAGCCATATTTATTTTTTAAAATGAATAGCTTTCTTTATCTTCTTCTGGGAACTATTTGCTGACAAAATCACTAGAAATGCAGTTTCTCTATGAAAATTTATCTATTAGATGTGTAGACTCTTTAACAGTATCATATGTCTAGATGACGGAGATAGTTTTCAAATAATATATAGCAGCTTATTAGACTCTTTCAATATTGCCTTTTAAAATGTCTTGTTTTAAGTTTTAAATTTGAATATATCTTATACCTCTTTTTGTCCCAAAGGGCACACAATAATGTGCCTATTTTTCTACCATGAAAAAAATATCATTATTGAAGAAAGTTAAAGGATTACTATATATGATTAAGCATATTTGTATATTGTGCAGTGAGTGAATAAAAAGTATCAACTTGCTATAAATCATAAGATACTCTAAAGAATATTTCAGGAATCACTGTAGCCACAGAGACAAGCACTGTCTCTGACAGAGTAAGCATGTAATGAATAGGCACTGTCTTTAGAAACAGATGTTTATCTCTTCTGAGGGGAAAGGTAGGTCTTCATTCCAAGCTTCTTTGGAGTTGCTTACAATTTTTGTCTGTGAGGGTGCAAATAATAAACTTCCTCTCTCTTTCAAATAGTGACAACAAAATCAGTTGCTTCTTTCAGTGAACACTTTACTAAAGTTGTTGACAAAGCAGATTTCTCTTAGATATTTGTATATGTATGAAGAATACATAAACACATTCTTATGGTAAGCAATTAAAATTTAAGTATTTAAGGTGAAAACTCTACTGTTTCTTTGAATTTAAAAAATAATATGGTTTGGAGAATTTTCCTTGCCAGGATGTACAGATCTAAGTTTTTCCTCTACTGTAGCATAAAAATCACATAGTATGGATGTGCATTTATATTGTTCCCCATATTGTGACAATGAACATCCTTATATGGCACACAGGTGATTATTTAAGTTATGTACACATAGAATTGTGTCACCTGAGACGCATCCACATTTAAACTCCAACACCCTTTTCAGGATTCTGCACTCTGTGGTATCTAGCCAGACTCTATTTGCCTGTGCTTTCTTGGTTGCTGACATTGCTAGCATCCCTATTCTTGATTTACTTTAATAGCTTTTTCAACCCTACAAATTTCATATGGGTACAGAACTCCATTTTTTAAAAATTTATTTTTTGTAGCTGTAGATGGACAGAATGTCTTTATTTTATTTATTTTTAATGTGGTGCTAAGGACTAAACCCAGTTTCTTAGATAAAATATACCATGAAACAATATGCTTTCAAGTCAGACTTAGAAAGTCAAATGTGGAAGTTTGGGCTGTAGTTCAGTGAAAGAGCACTTGCCTAGCATGTGGAAGGTCCTAGGTTCTCCTATCCCCACTACAGAAAAGACAAAAAGTAAACATAAAAGGAGCAGGGGTTTGTAAATTATATTTGTCTTTATTCCTCAGTATTGTTAAATAGTGATTATACACTAAAATTTATCAAAGAGAAATTATATTTGAGAGTCTGTCAGAGGGAAGTCTTTGGCTTTAGGAGAACATAATTGACAGTAATTTTTTTGATTAATTAATATTTTCAAAATTGACTAGTAATGTGGTCAAAAATGCAATTTGAACATATGGTGTACCATTTGGTTATATTATATAGTTCCTAAAATTAATTTCTACACACTTTTCTTAGGATAATATATTGATAGAGCATTTTGTAAGCATCTTAATATAATTATCGACTTATGTTTTAAGTTCTGAAATAAATCTACACAAAAAGTGACGCTGTTAAAATTATTAGCTGACAAAAACTAATAAGAAATTTGGATTTTATCAAAATCTTATTTAAATATTGGGCTTTAATAATTAATCTATCTTTGTTTCACAATGCCTTGGACTAAATTCAAATAATTTTAACACTAGGATGAAACTTTAAAAATAGACATATCTAGTCCTTCTATTTCATAAGTGAGAAGAGAAAGATCCAGAAAATTACTAAATGTAGAAAGTCACAGAATCAAAACTGGAAGGTAGATCTTCTCATTGCCTTGGAAAATATTGTGCTTTAATCCACTGCCTATATGTATGTGTCAAAATGTCTTTTGCATGCTTGTCTCCCATTTCATTTTCTATTTCCACTGATATTTTATTCATTATTTCTTCTTGTATTTCTCAAAAATTAGGCTAGTAATCAAAGCAAGAGACCCTCAAAAAATGAGGGACCCTCAAAAACTGAGTAGATGGATTTTATAAATGTTTTATAATATCTTAGATTAATTACCAGGATGAAACAATTGAACTATAATCAATTCTTATACCAAGGTAAATCATGAAGATTATTAGTTACTTTTTCAGCATTTTTGTTGTAGCAAAATATACATAAAATAAAATGTATTGCACTTGTACACTTAAAAATGGATAAAATGGCATTTTATCCATTTTTAAGTGTACAATTCAGTAGCATTAATTATATCCATAATGTTGTACAACCATCACCATATCCATTTCTAAAACCCTTTCATCACCC